AAAGAAGGAGAATTGCCATGTTCATAAGTGCAGATACATTTGAATACTAAATGGTAGGGACAGCAAACGATAAGCTATATAGGAAATAGCCATAACTTAGGAGAAGGACCAACCATTAAAAACCTCAAAGGAATTATATTAGAAATTAACCCTTAGACTTCGGCCACAAAAGTCTTCCAGTTGGAAATGTCAAAATAGTCTTCTAAAATAACTCCTGTGATTTAGAAGAGATTAAGAGATAGCCATCATGACTAAGAAACTGCGGGACAGCTCCCCTCATGTGTTTCAATATTTTGGAAGTTTACCTTCTTCCTCACTATGTCTTTTAACAAAAAAATAAATAAACTTTAAAAAAAAAAAAAAAAGAAATTAATGGCAGTAAGAGCATCTGTTTCTAATTTTTTTTAATGTTTATTTATTTTTGAGAGGGAGAGACAGAGCGTGAGCGGGGGAGGGGCAGAGAGAGAGAAGGAGACACAGAATCCGAAGCAGGCTCCAGGCTCTGAGCTGTCAGCACAGAATCTGACACAGGGCTCAAACCCATGAACAGTGAGATCATGACCTGAGCCGAAGTCAGACGCTTAACTGACTGAGCCACCCAGGCGCCCCAAGAGCATCTGTTTCAAACCCAGCCCACTTTCTATGGACTATTTTACAATCTCCAATGGAAGAATCACAGTGCAGGACTCCAGGCTTTGGAGAAAATCCGTGCCTCCCTCTGCAGATACCAACCTGAAAATGACCTCCTGGCTTGTCTTTGGGCCACTGGAATCTGGATGCTGGGTGCACTGGACTAAATGTGTGGGTCCCACCCGATAATTCGTATGTTGAAACTCTAATCCCAGTGTGAAGGTGTTTAATGCTGGAGCCTTCGGGAAGTTACCAGGTCATAAGCGTGGAGTTTTCGTGAATGCGATTAGTGCCTGTATTAGTCAGGGTTCTCCAGAGAAACAAAACCAACAGGGCATATAGAGAGAGAGATAGGCTAAGAACTCCCATGATCTGCCGTCTGTGAGCTGGAGGCCCAGGGAGCCAGGTGGTGTCATTCCAATCCAACCTCAGGCCTAAGAACCAGGGAGCCAATGGTCTAAATCCCCAGTCCAAATCTGAAGGCCAGAGAATAGGAAAGCTGATGCCTAAGGGCAGGAGGAGCTGGATGTCCCAGCCCCTGCAGAGCTCAGATCCCTTCTTCCTCCACCTTTTTGTTCTATTCAGGCTCTCAACAGATTGGAAGAGGCCCCCTCACATCCATTCAAGTGACATTCTGAAGGCTTCTGGAAACAGCCTTGCAGAAGCACCCAGAAATAACATCTTACCAGCTATGTGGGCATCCCTTAGCCCAATCAGGTTAAACATACAATCAACCATCACAGCGCCCTCTTAGGAAGCAAGCCCAAACTGGTTAGCTCTCCTTCAGCCACGTGAAGATGCAGTGAGAAGTGTATCATCTGCAGCCCACAAGGGGGCCTCCCCAGAGCCATGCAGGCACCTTGACCTTAGACTTCCAGCCTCCCAAACTGTGAGAAGTGAGCGTCTGTCATTGATAAGCTCTAGAAGGCCAAACTGACAGGGTCACCTGGCCACGAACGCCAAGGGCATTGTGACCTGAACTGCGCATCACATCCTGGATGAAAACTACCAAGCCATGACATTGGGTGTGCACACAGCATCCATCATCCACAGAAGAGGCATGTATGAGATCCGACTCAAGCACTAATACAAGGCAAAGGCGTATGCCTCGACAGATGGCTCAGATGCCCATGGCACCTGCTCCTGATGCTTTTCCCTCCACCGACACCTATGGGCTTACGGATAGTCCCTGTGATCCCAGAGAAGAGAAATAATAGACCAGGTTTATAGATAGATCTGTACGATGGGCTGGCACCAGGCAGTGGGTAGATGCTGGGTTAGCCCTGCACCCATGTGGTCCTGAAAGAATAATGTAGGGAAGTCCTTCGGGTGGCAAAACCTCAGGGCTCCACCTTGCGGGACAGAGGGACGTCCTTAGGTCCACTGATGCACGGATCCATATGAGCCACCTAGCCAAGGACTTGGAAAGAATAAAAGTATATAAAAGAAAGAAAAGACTAAAAGGATAAAATGGATACTGGGGAAGATACGTGGATGGTCCTCTGGGGGTAGACACGGAGCGTGAATCTTCACGACCCACGCCGATGCCCACCAGAATGCACGCACTGAGGAGTGGTCCCATGGGCAGGGGTGGAAGCTCCACACAGTTACAACACATGGGCTACCTCTCCTCAAGGCCGACCTGGGTGTTGACTGAACTCAGGGCCCAAACCAACAGAGGCAGAGGCCAGTGCAAAGTGCCTCATGGTGTCGTTCTACAGCAGGACTACACAGGACATACCCCATCGTGGAGAGGGCTAAGCTTCACCCTTATAGGGACTGGCACATACCATGGGTTCCCATTTGCCTTCCTTGTACTCAGTGCTTCTGCCAACACTACCATTTGGGAACTTAGAAAATGCCTACAGGGGCGCCTGGGTGGCTCAGTCGGTTAAGCGGCTGACTTCGGCTCAGGTCATGGTCTCGTGGTCTGTGGGTTCGAGCCCCGCGTCGGGCTCTGTGCTGACAGCTCAGAGCCTGGACCCTGTTTCGGATTCTGTGTCTCCCCCTCTCTCTGACCCTCCCCTGTTCATGCTGTCTCTCTCTGTCTCAAAAATAAACGCTAAAAAAAATTTTTTTTTAAAGAAAATGCCTACAGTATCCCACGAGGTAGTGAGGTAACTAACTTACACAACCATGGAGCTCAAGACCTTCCCAGGTGCCCCATTATACAGAGACGGGTGGCTCATCGGAATGATGGAACGGCCTACGATGGCTTAGGAGGACACCAGGTGAGAGACGCACCCTGTCATCTATCAGAAATGGATGTCTCAAACCAGTGCTCAGTCTGTGGTGCGATATCCCCCATAGCCAGCATGCAGGGGTCCCGTGAAACAATATCAGAATGAGGGATGGGGAGCCTGGGCGGCTCTGTCGGTTAAGCGTCTGACTTCGGCTCAGGTCATGATCT